CATTGCTAATTTTACATGATCGTGGTTGGTGTTAGACGTGCAAAAATTTGCAACACGTGTTTGTCTATTCTTTTCAATAACAAGTGGAAGTAAAGTGAAATCTCCGCGACTGGAAGGCCTATCTCTCTCCTTGAAAAATATCATGCTCGATGCAAGTCAGTATTATAGTATTTCTGTTGCTCATCCGTTGCCTTCATTTTTTGTTCTGCATGGCAGGGGAAGAAAAAGGAGGGAAACGCTGCTAAATATGTCACCAGGTCACAGGCACTCAAGCTTCTCCAGATCAGTCTACCCCTGTTCAGGTCCTTTTACCAAGGAAACTCCCCTTTATCTATAAAATCCAATTTAAGGTGGTCTTTGTTGGTCCTCGGCCGTGGCTCTACTCCATCCCCAATATTAGAAAGGAAAGGCCAAAGGGGATGTGATAGGATTAAAGATTTCCTTGAAATAGTAAATCCTGAGTGTGATTTTATTTGTTTAGATATACATATTTTCTTGTATGCCAGCTTTTGATGGAGGCCTGGAAAAGAAAATTTTCGTGAAGGCTTGCAACTATCCTGACATTGGCTTTACATATTTCAGGAGATTATGCATTTTCAAAGGTATTACCCCACGGGAGCCTAAGAAAAAGTTCAAAGGAACCCATCATACTTATTACCATGTGAAGGATATTGCTTTTCTTCACCATGAACCTTTGGTTGAAATACATAGAACAATAAGAACGCAAGAGAAAAAGATAAAGAAAGCAGAGGCAAAGAAAAACTTGGAACGTGCAAACAAGTTGCGGGAACAAGCGCCCAAAATCAGGCTAGATAGGATTATAAAAGAGAGGCATGTTTGTACTTTTTACAGATTTATTTTTGGGTCATAGCCATTAATGAATTTCTAAATTGATTAATCTTAACTTATAGGTATCCGAGGTTTGTGGATGCACTTGGAGAATTGGACGACTGTCTCACAACTCTGCATCTTTTTGCAGCACTGCCTGCATTAGAGAGCAAAAAGATTGATGTGGAACGTGTCCATAAATGTCGGAGGTATATACTTGCATTTTGAAAACTTTCTATTATTATGTTGAAGAAGGGTTTGGCCCCATCTTTAAATTGAGGATGTGGACTTGAGGAGAAGAGCTTAGGTTTAAGTATTTTGTCATTATTTCCTTTCTGTCCTATTTAATCTTGCTTCAACGTTTCTGCTAGATTGGCACATGAATGGCAAGCTTTCATATCTCGCACTCACAAGTTAAGAAAAACTTTTGTATCTGTGAAAGGAATATACTACCAGGTATTGATTGGGGCATTTGTGATGGTCGTTTAACCTATGTATCTATCTTGTAGTTTGATTGTCTTGTCTGTGCAGGCTGAAGTCGAGGGTCAGACAATAACATGGATTACACCACATCCATTACAGCAAGTTGTTCCTGATACTGTTGACATCACCACCATGCTAAACTTTCTGCAATTTTATGAGGTTTGTTTCATTTTCATTTGCATATTGTCTTTGTTCTTTTGCCTCATTAACATCTGATTTATACCAGTTAGCAAAGCTTATGTAGGTTTGTCATAATCAAGTAGGCTTTGCAAATGATCAATGTCTAATTTTGTATCGCTTTTCCTTTTTGCATATGCATATGCCCCTGCCTGGCTGCCCCCTTCATATTTGTCTGCACACAGCACATTTATGTCTATTTGGTTAAATTTTGCTCAATCTTATTTAACTTACGTAATGCATTGATGCAGACTCTTCTTGGTTTTGTGAATTTTCGCCTCTATCATTCTATAAATTTGAAATATCCCCCAATACTTGATCCTCGGTTGGAAGCTTTGGCTGCAGGTGCCTCTTTCGCCGATTTGTAGTGAATTTTAGAAACTTTCGAGTCTTTGCAGATATTTTATGTCTCCTGATTATTTCTCTCTGTCTGTTTTCTTTGGCTTTTTTTAAATAATGCAGATCTGTATGCATTGTCTAGATATGTTAATTCCAGTGCTAGACCATCTATAACAAATTCTGAAGCTGATCATTTGGATGAATCTGATGAAGTTGCGGCCAAGAAAATGGAATCCCAGACTGAAGATGAAAAATCCAAACTAAGACTTGCTCAACTTCAGCATCAACTTCCTTTAAATGAACCCGGTGCACTAATGCACCTTGTTGAAGATATCTCTGGCGAAGATGATGAGAATCAAGATACAAAGGAGTGCAAAAATCTCTTCAAAAATATGAAATTCTTCTTGAGCAGGGAGGTAAAAAATCAATTTCTTCCTTCAGTCTGTACTCCATTTGTTAAATTATTGTTTGTCACATTAGTTGGGAAATTGGGTACATTCCAGTTTCTTAATTAAGTTTAATTCATGTTGATTTTTTTTAATGAAAAGTAAAAGTTAAATACTTGTCATTGATTGTCACGAGTGGTACCAAAAGGATCTAACCAAGAAAAAAGATGGTATCAAAAGGTCTACAGTAGTTAGGCTCAAAGCTAATAAAGTATGAAAATGTCACCTCTTGATGAATAGTAATCTTTATTTTGTTCAAATCGCTGTTAGAATTTCTTGCTACTTTCTTTGTGTATCATTACATATGGAAATTAGAGACTTCTCCACAAGAAATTGATCAATATCTGTGCGAGAAACTTTGGAGGTCTTCACTTAATACTCTGGTACAATTTCCCCCATTCATGCGTGCTACTATTGAATTTGTATGATTGAAGGCTTAGGAGATTATACAGTGACTTTTATACGTTGCAACATTATCCTTTTAATGCGTTACAATAGAGAAAAGTAGCTAATAAATGAAAATTTGAATTGAATAGATTATGGATGATGGATGACATATATCTTAGCAGCATTTTCTTAATCCTCATCGACTCTACAGTTTTTCTCTGAGAATGACTTTGGAATGCATAAATTTGTGCGCACGTATGCATTGTATTTACATCTGCCTTGCTATAAACATACAGGTACCAAGAGAGTCATTGCTTTTTGTTATTCCTGCCTTTGGTGGTACTGTTTCATGGGAGGGAGAGGGGGCACCTTTTGGAGAATCTGACCAGAGCATCACTCATCAGGTTTTGTGAGAATATATCACACCGTCTAGGTGACAATGATTTATAACTTCATTTTAGATGCACTTAGCTATGGCTTCCATGTCTGTAGGTTGTTGACAGGGAAGTACAAGGGCATATGTTCTTCTCTAGAGAATATGTTCAACCCCAATGGATATATGATTGTGTAAATGCGCGTATCATTTTACCAACTGAAGATTATATGGTCGGAAGGTAGCTTGTAAATTATTTACTTTCTTTCTAATTGACTTGTCTGTTTTACTATTAACGTGCTGGGTTTTGACTGTTCTAGTTCCCCATCTCACATCTTTCATAAGATTTGTGAGAAATTTATGATATAAAAGTTTACTCAGAAGTTTGATAAATTTGGATTGGTGCCATTACCAATGGATCCTAATCCCAATGCGCTGAGATTATTATCTGACTTTATTGTTCTTCTCTTTTTCTGATCAAAGTGATATCCTTTTGTACAGGACTCCTCCACCACACTTGTCACCTTTTGTTGACAATGAGGAAGGAGCTTATGTTCCTGACTATGCAAAGACCATCAAGCGATTGCAAGCTGCTGCTCGAAAGGAAGTCCTTCCACTTCCAGGTGTTGGAAAGGAAGATCTGGACGATCCTCAAAATCTACTGGTTGAAGGTATTATTGATCGAGCAGAGGCTAATGAAGCTGCTCAGAGAAAGCAAAAGGTATCCTGTTTTATAAGAATGTTTCATCACTGTGGTTGAATGAGCAGAGGATTCTGATGCTTTTGCTATCTTTTGATAATGATGTTCTATCATATCTGATGTACTTAACTCAAGTTGAATGGCTACAGATGAAGATTCTTGAGCAGCAGTACCATGATGAACTGAAAAAGGAACTTCAGGGTGTTCCATACATGCCAGTGGGTTCCAATGTTGATGAACGGACATCTGCTGGAGAAATCAAGACTGGGGAAGAATCCACTTCTAATATCAAACAAAGTGTTGAAGATAGTGCAAACATGCCTCTCGTTATGATGTCTCGTAAAAAGAGGAAGCTCTTGGAAGCCATGCAGGTAAATTCTTGTTGGATTTGTTAGGCTGGAGCCTGAGTTGATTAATTTATAGCAATGTTGTTACTCCCGGTTCTGTTGTGAGCATGCCATTTTCACGTCTCATGCAAAATTATCACATGCCATAAAGAAATTTAGTTGGGAGGGGTTTATCCTTTGCCCTCGTTGCAGGGTAGATAATCTCTGCTATTAGCAAAGTCTATTACCTTGTGCTTAAAAAAAATCTATTTAATTGATGATAAAGAAAGTTGGTATGGAGAGGGACACGTATTTACTGTATTGTAAATTGTAAACACTGTCTCTTTCTATCATGCCAGAGAACAATTTATAATTAATTCTAATTTACAAAGAAAATATTATGCAATCTAAGTTTCTTTTGTAATTATATTTCATTGCACACTGGTTTTGATTTTTCTGTTTCTTTCTCCTCTTTTGATTCAGATATCCAATGAACGAAAGCGGGCTGCAAATGATCTTATCAAGCAGCGGAAGAAAAAGCTAGAGGAAGCTCAGAGATAAGGGAGTTAAAATGATTCCCCTTTTTCCAAAAAATTTAAAAGGCGGGTATAAAAACCGAGAGTCGAGGCAAAATAGTGCCCGACATTGACGATTCTCCATTCTCGAAAAATATTTATTGACTGTGATGTGGTATTGGCTCTAAAAGGCTAGTTGATCTTAATTGTTTTCAGTTGTAGGCTCCTGTCGAGCTATGCAATTTTGAGCTTGTACGGAATGAAATAGTGACACGTGTCACTAATGCCCGTTTAAAAAATGTGTTCCTACCTCCACTGATGCATTGCTGCTAATTTGTTTCCCTCAAATCAGCTTATGCCTCTGGCGTGAGACCGAGTAGATGTCACCGAATTTCAATCTGTGGGTTTGCACCCAAGAAGTGGGTATGAAATGAAGAGGCAAAACCTTTCTTGATTATTCTATACAACAATTATTCCCTCATAATTTTTACAGTGCTTCAAAAAAATGCAAGCCACCAAATGAAGAACGAAATCCCTCAAACGCAAGTCTCAGCATACCGGCATGCGCACCAAACCCAAACCATTTATTTGTAGTATTTCGAACAATCAAATCTTCGGTATTAAAAAAAAAAAAAGCAATTCAAACGGTGAACAAGCTCACGCAATGCTATGTATTTCTGTTTTACAGGAGCAGAGCTGTAGAGGCCGATTGCTTTCGTTATTTTGGTGACGTTGTCTTGGGATGTGAAGACTTGCCTGTAATAGCTTTCTTCACCTTGGAAATCGAATGCTTGACCTTTGACCCAACGCCTGATAAGATGTTATGAGATTTCTTGTGCTTAACTCTGGCTTCCTCGTGGTCTTTAAGAGTTTCGACCATGGCGGAATCATGAGACCGTAATGGCTCCATTGTTTGGTTTCCATCTACGCCATTGTCTTTTTCACACTCTTCTTTGGTCTCCCCACATTGTGAGGTTTCTGCCTTTTGAGCTTTCTCTGCCGAGTCTGTTACGTGATCCACGTGTTTAGCTGCTCGCAGATGTTCTTCTGTAGACGACGCAGCGTTTCCTTCTTCAGTTCGTGTGCTTTCCATTGTTATATTTGTGGACTCTGCTATTTCGAGTTGAACTTCCGGCACGGTTTCTCCAGCTGGCTTTTGAAGGCCTCTCTCTGTATCTTCTTTTGTCTCTCTGGTCTCAGCATCTTCTTTTTCGGTGGCATTTATGTCCACTTCTCCCAAGGCGGCTTCCTCTAGCTCTTGGATTTCTCCCGTGGATTCACTTACTTCTGTTGTGTTAATTTGTTCTTTCTGTGGCCTGTCGGCTTCCACTTCCTGGTCCTGGATATGCAATCGACAAGGGAAAGGGTTGGGTTATCTTCGGGTACACTTCGAAATTCTCCAACTTCGAGGTACTGTTAGACATTGAAATAAAAAACTGCCGGTTTCTTGAAGCTTGGGATGTTCGTGGATCAAGTCAGACGTTACAAACCATCGAAAATGGATTAAAAAGAGAAAACACCTAAAATTCCGTTGACGGTAATTTCATTCTTTATCGTCAATCAGTTAATCATATTTTTGCATCATGGTTGAATTCTTTGACCCTCCCAAGCACTAGCGTTTTGTCGTGACAATTGAATGCCACTTTTTGGTTTTTCGGCCATAACTAAAAGCTAAGTAGAAAAAAGCAGATTCTTCCCTTTTTTTTTTGTTGAATAATAAAGAGGGTGGAGGATTTGATCTGACCTTTTCACCTTGGACCAAGACCTCTGTTCTTCTGCCTGTGATTTGTGGCTCAGCCCCTGCATTTTCTTGGGTTAGCTTTGTTTCTGCCTTCATGACATTCTTTCCATCTTTATCATCTGGAGGGTGGTTGGCTTTAGTGTTATCATATTTCCCGTTCTCAGTTGCTTCTGACTTCTGTATTGTATTTTCAAAGGGGGGGGGGGATTAGATAAGGAGATACATGAGGAAACAGAATAAATATAACTTGGAGGTGAAAAAATCCCTCTACCTCTTCATGCTGATTGTCGTTACTGTCAGTTTGACACGCTGTGCTACTATTCTTGATGGAATGTTCCATTGCACTTTGTTCGTCTCCTGTTGTAGGAGCTTTGTCACTGGCCTCTTGACCCATCTCCCATCCACGTTCTGCAATTCCTTGGATATGCTTGTCCCTACTATCTTCTGAATCAATGGTATCCAAAATTTTTTTAGCTTCTCCTTCCTCTGATGCTTCTATGGTAGTCAAAGAAAAGTCTTCATTTTCCTTGGTAAGATTCTCCGAGAGTCTAAACTCTCTTTCCCTCACTAAATCCATTTTTTCACCCTGTTCTATAAACCCTGAGTTTGTTGCTGTAGCCTGAAACCAAACATAGGAAGGGGGAAAAAAAAGAAGCAAGTTGAATGAGTGGAGTATACAGACAGACTTTTTTTTTTCACACGAGAAATTTACCTCATTAACGGTTCCATAACATGCAGATAAGCTGTCAGATTCCTTCAGATTGCTCGTAGGCTCTGGGCTGTGTTCTAGGATTTTTTCACTTTCATTGGCCTTTTCAGTTGCAGCAGGGACCTATTTTACGCATACAGTTGTTAGAAAAATTCACAGGAAACTAAAAGAACAAATACACCTGAGTTTCTTACATTGTCAGTACTGCCCCCAATCACCACAGCATCTGCATCTCTTATGACACTCGTATGGCGCTCAACTTCAAATTGCATGCCAACTTCTCCCTGTATTCCACTTTGAAATTTTTTATCTGGAACGTTTTCTCTAGATTCAGAAACATTGTCGTCAGAGTTGCTTTTTTCCTTAGCTTGATAAATCTTTTCGTCACTTCGATCTTTAGCCATGGATTCAGAAGCCAGTTCAACTTCCTCATTTGGATCTGCTGCTTCAACAGTCTATTCCACAATAATATTAAGCGGAAGCAAAAGATGAGGAAAACAAAAAGCAAAAGATGACAAAAACAAGTGGAAGCCATAAATTAACAGAGGAAGTTGCAAAAATCGTTTAAAAGATGGACAAAATATGATATTCTTAATACAAATAATTGGACCTTTTTTGAGGGAAGCTCGTCAGCAAGCTCATTTTCTAATGCAGTTTGTGCCTTTTCTATAGCAACATTTGTCAAACTGGCTTCAAAAGTTGTGTCTATGTTATCTTCTGCTTGCACAGTCTCACAATTTTCATGCGTGCTGCTTGTAGTATACTTAGAGGCTTCTACCGAAACATTTTCTTCATTAACTGCATTAATTTGCAAGTGTCATCGTGATATGCCATATTACTAGCATAAGGGATACTACAGTTGGCGTTTTGATCAAAAACAACGTGCTAACCTTCATTTTTCGGTTGGGACTGTCTTCATTTGAACATTCATTCGTGATGTTCACAGATTCCAAGTCAGAGGTACCACCAGGTTTGAGAACTTCATGTTCCTTTTCAGATGATGTGTTTTCTGTTGAGTGCACCAGATAAGTTTCTGCAGCTTCTTGAATGATTTCCTCTCTTGTTGATTTTGCATCCATTGGATGAATTTTTGCATTCCCTGTGGTATCTTTTTCTTCTACCAATAGTGTCGAACTATCTTGTGATATGGAAATTGTGCTCAGGGCCTGTTCTCTTTCCTGCTGAATTGTGGTGGTTTTATCTGTTTCTTCGATACAAGAATCCATCAAACGACCTTCATTTAGTTCTGCCAAATTCTCCTCTTCTCTTCCAACAATATCTATGCTGTCTGATGGGGTCTTGTCTGTTATAATGGCGGTTCCACCCTCATTCTCAGAGACTATAACTGATCTTGTGTCATATTCTATGTGTCCAGTTCTAGAATTCTTTAGGCCTGTTTCTTCAATCTCAACTATAACAGGCACAATTTTGGGATCATCAGTGGGAGGGTCGTCGTTCTTGATGAAACTTGCTTCAGTCTCGTTCTCATATACCTCGGGTGTGGCAGAAGAGTCATCAGTATTGGTTTCTGATGCATCTGTGGATTTTGAAGCTCTGAGGTCTGTGATTTCCATAATTTGCTCTGTTTGATTTTCTAAAGTCAGAGGTTTTTTTCCTTCTGTCGGCTTTGTTGACTCAGTTTGTTCTGTGAGTTTGGAAGCTGGAACTTCAACCTGTACGATGGGGAAAAAATGCTTATCATTAACATCATATGGAAAAACTTTGGGTATTGTTTTGCAAACTATTAATGGTATGACCTCATTTTCTGTTTCTTCTTCAGGTGGTGTTATTATACCCTCTTTGGGGTATTCTCTGAGACTTTCATTGTTATCAGCCATCCCTGATCTCTGATAAACCTGTTCAAAAGTATTTTGAGAACAAGCAGAGCCTCATGAAATAATGGTAATTAATATTTCTGCTTTCCTCACCTCATGGGTTAAATTGATGGCATCCATATTCTCATCTTGATCAAGGGATGAGTTCAAAAGGTCTTCATCATTACATCTTGGCTTCAGGTTCGATGCTGTGACTTCCTGAACAGATCCGGAGTCCTGATCTTGAAGGTTGTTATTCTTTCCCACTGTTTGAATGTTACTGGAATGGAGGAGCATCTCTTCACTTTGATCTTTTGCCACTAAGTCACCCTGTATTGTAGTGATAAATTAACAAAATGGTAGAAATGAAATAATTTTCTACATAATAAAAGGAAATAAGACTGCGATTGTGATTTGAATAAATCTAATGTGAAAACAAAAGGAAACGTTATTTTAATTGGTTATGAACTGAGTTATCTGAGATATCATATTGGATTACAAGACGATGACTGTAAAACAGAAAAAAAGATGAAATGGTTGCTGTTCATTTAAAGTAATTGCACAAATTTTCTCATTGGTTAAAGGTTTTCGTTCCCTGGCATGTTATTCTTTTATCTACCTTTTCCATTTGAAGTTCACAATTTTTGGTATTAAGATACTCTTCTTGACTGCCAGAAATTTCTGTTTTAAGTCCAGCTGCTTTTCCCTCTAGTCCAGTGACTGCTGAACTGTATTCAGTCTTGTCAGTAAGTTCCTCTTCTTGCATGAGGGTTTTTGTCACCTCCATAGTTGACTTCTCATCTTCTACAATTTCCAATTTGCAAGCTTCATTTAGATCTGCTAAATCATTGGCCTGTTCTCTCTTCTCTCTTACAATGTCTCCTGTATCTGATTCTGAGGTAATATTTTCAGCTTTCAGGTGAGGAGGCATAGGCTGATCTTCATCGTTATGTTCACGAATTCCTTCATTTGAATATTCCTTCTCTTTCCCCTTCTCATCATCTGCAGATGCCAACATCAAAGCACCTTCAGTGTGAGTAATTAAGGGCTGTTCTGTTTCAACAAATAAAACATCTTCTCTTGCTAGGGTATTATCTGTTGTCTTGCTCATTTCCACTGTCTCAAGCCCTCCATATGATGGCACCATAGAGGAACCTGTAATGGCATGCACCGCTTGGTCAGTAGTGGCTAATTCTATTTCATGGTTGCTGCCTGCAATTAAATCTCTCTCTTTGATGTCATGAGATATTTGTTCTTCTTGATCTACCACTTCTTTAACCTCCATGTCCCTATTCTCTAAGTTTGTTTCTGCCCATCGTCTTTCAGCAATATCACTACCCAAGCAATTTGATTTTGTTTCACTTGTTAAACCCATCATCTCATGGGCACCATGAGAACCTTCAAGATGGTCTTCATCTACTGGTTTGACCCCCTTCAGGGCTGTGTTTTCATTTACAAGTCTTAGAAACTCAGCTTCAGAATCATTAGTGCTGCTGCTGTCTTTTTGAGGCACACCTAATATAGATGAAGAGCCCTTGACTAGAGTATTGTTTTCTTCAATAGTCAAAACATCATGGTCCTCTTCAGGCTTTGAGAAATCATCTAAAGGGTTGGATATTTTTCTCTCTCTGGAAGATGGTTCACTCTGCCCTTCTGATTCTGTGACTCCCACCTGTTGAGCACCCAAGTTTAGAAGTTTACAGTTACAATCAAGGGGAACTTAAATTAGAAGGCTGGGAAAGAAATTCAGATATCATATATTATCCAACCCCTTGCCTATGGGGATGGACTAAGATAGGTGTATAAAAAAAAAACCTCTTCCTTGATTTTTGTTTGATCACATTCGACTTCTTCCGTGTACTCCTTTCTTGTGTCCATCTCAACTGTTGTAGAAGACAATGTCCCAACAGTGCTCTCCATCTCTTCTTCTTCTGGTTCTAAAGCAGAAACTTCTGTCTCTGATGGCTCACTTGCCTTTGTTTTTTAAGAAGGGAGAGATAAATATTGTCATTCAGAGAAGATTACCAAAAAAAAAAGAAGTTCATATGTCATGCTTTTGTCGCTTGAAATTAAAGCTATCTTAGTTGAATCTTTAAAGTAGTTCCAAGACTATTACGTACTTCTAAAAGATTTTTTATGGTTTCTTGACTTGATGCAGTAGTTACAGGCACCTGTATAAAAGATAAAAGTATCACAAGGATTCCCTTTATTGTGGAGAAGCCAAGAAGTAGCACAATAGACCAAATTTTTAAAATTCATTACCTTTTATGTTATTAATCGGATGACATGGCACTGGATGAAATGAATCATATGATAGTATTTAAAAAAAAAAACGCATGAACCCTACAGCACTCTATGTTATCCTTATGTAATTTTTAGAATTATGCTATGGCTTTAAACAACTCTTGTAGTACCCTTTTATAACAATTTGTGCATAAATTGGATAGAAATGCAAAATATTAAAAATTTGAGTTCAAGAATTTTCTCATAAAAGATGCTGAGCTTCTAGTTTTGAGGTTTTGTGGCATGTTTATCTTGTATCACTGAGTTACCGAGCTGATTATCGAAAGAGATTTGAATGTAGAAACACTAGTCACCTCCTGATATGATGCCTTGTTTTCCTTTCCACCATCCATATCTTTAGGTTCTTCAATCTTTTCTTTCTGGGAAAATTGTTCAAGTTGGCCAGAGGTTTTCTCCCCTATTGTACAGGTAATGCTTTCAAAGTTTTGTCTAGAAGGATGTGCTTTGTCTTCAGCAACTTTCATGGAATATGCATATTCGTCTTGATCTTCAATTGAAGCTTCTTTTGGGGTTGGGTTGCATTTTTCTCTGAACAAAATTTGCTCTTCTCTCTTTGATGATATATCAACAATTTCAGGATTTTCCAGAGTCTCGTTTGACTCACAAAGAATGGTCTCATCTCTTTTTCCTTGCTGCAGTGGATTTCAAGCTTGAATGTTGAACAAACTTTAAAAATTTATGAACAAATTAACAGCGTTTAGAGTTCAAGATACTGACCTGAATGAACTCAGAAGGGAGGCCAGAGACAGAACTTTTCCTTTCAATATTTCTTCTTTTGTCTTCTCTTAAAATTTGAATTTTCATTTCATCACCTTGGAAGCTTTTCATTGTTTCTTCAGCAGATTCTTCTATGACATGTTTCTCATTAATATCCTGTCTGCCCTTAGTTTCAGGTAGATCAATTGCCTGCTTCCATACGTGAAATTTCAGAATCAGGAAAAAAACATTTATGGAGAAAGTGAATGTATGATTTTGTGCGTTTTAATACAAAAACAAGTGTGTGATTGTGAAAATGCTTGCAGGTATTGTGTATTTTATAGTTTAATTCATTGCATCCTGGTTAAACCTCAACAGCATTTTTTTCTTTCTCAGCATCAATTTCTGGTATGCAGCTCTCATTCTTCTCTATCATTGCTTCACCACCCTTAGGACTTTCATCCTGAAAGGTGTGCTCAATCTGTTCTTCTCCAACAGGTGCCATTCTTGGTGATGTTGATAGGGCTTCTTCCTCAGATACGCCTGCCATTGTCCATGTTAGATGTTTGCATCTTATCATCCATAAAGATAGGTTGCTAAAGTAGTAGCTTTTAGTATTATAGTATATTCTTCAGAAGTTGTCAAATTCAAAGCCACACCAAGCTGCTAATGAGAGATTAAAAAATGAATGTTTCAAGGGATTTCAAAAATCATAATAATCTAAACTTGAAGTGGCTTTAATTTCTTGAAAGATATCCATGAAATTCACTAATGAAAAACAAGTTGCTCAATGTTTTAAGTATGCCCATTTTCTTTTGCAATTTCATTAACTGCTTACCAGTGATTTCTTCCATCTCTTTTTGTTCCTCTGGAGTGATTTTCTCATCATCTTTGGTATCTTTTTTTGCTTGAGAGAGTGATTCTGGAACTCTATCAAGTTCTTCATTATCCTTTGTTGATTTTGTGATTGTATGTGCTGTTACCATTTCTTCTGAATCCATATGCTTTAGAACCCAATTCTCTGTGCTTTGTGCTTCAGAATGTCGTTCATCTTGCTTGTCATTTTCAGTACAGAACTTTCTTGAATCTTCAAATTTTTCTTGGGCTTCAATTTGGGTTTCTTCGTGAGTCTCAACAATGTCCAGCTTGTCTGAATCTTCAATCATTGGAATTTTAGTATTCAGATCACTTGCAATATTTTGTGAGAATATTGTTTCTTCACTTTTTATCTCTCTGGTAGACTCGGCCAGCGGGAGACTCTGCAAAAAATTAAAGTTTGTCAGATCAGGGTTTTGCATTTTAACAAGAAAATGTTGAAAATGTTGAAATTGTTAAATCCAATGCATGACAATGTTCCACCTTTTCTGTTGAAATTAATGCCTCCTTACTATCGGGTGTATAAGTTTGTTCATCTTCTTTCTCTTCAAATTTTTCTACAGAGTGTAGGTTTTGTTCAATTCTCTTTTTGGCTTTTTCTCTTGGAGCTTCTGCTTCTGTCTTTTCTGGGATCAGTACCACTTGTTCTCCAAGTTCATATTCTTGATCATTTTTCTTCAATGAGTCTCTCTTTTCCACGTCATGTGTTTCTTGATTGATTATGCTATCATCCTCAATGGTCTCAGTGAGTCCTGCTTGATTGATGTTCTCTTCATTTGCTCCTCTGTCTAGGTATGCTGAATCTTCTGCACTGGCCATCCTGTCAACTGGAGGTACATGTTCCTCTGGCCACACTGATTCACAGGTGTCTTCGTTTTTATCTTTGCAGGCTGTATAGGAAACCTCTTGTAGAGTTTCCACTGCTTGTATTGCAACTTGTGGGCTTGCCCCGTCTGCTGGGTCGGAAGATGGGTTTCCCTTGTAGTCTTCATCATCATTTTTTGAGGCAGCTTCCAAAATAGATTCTTCAGTGCTATGCACATATGGAATTTGTACAATAGTTGTTATAGGGGCATCTTCTTCCCTGTTATTCTCACGTTCCAACTTATTGCTTGACCCAATATATTCAGGATCCTTCTGTTCACCCTGTGGTATGAATGTCATCTTGGCTTTCCTGTTCTGTTTTCCAGCCAAGCATAGATCTTTAGACGCATCATCAATGTGTTTAGTAGTTTCAATGCCTTCGTCTTTCATAGAAGACTCTATTACACTTTCATCTTCCTCACCTTTGCTCTTGGTTGCCAAGTCAAGGTTAGGAAGTGAAGCTTCACTGATCTTACCCAAGATTATCTCATATGTGCTTGTAAGTTGTTCATTGCATACCAAATCAGCATCTTCCTCTCTCTTTGATTTTGTGTCTTCATTGGTTTGGGAAGTTATCATTTCTTTTTCTCCACTATCTCGGATCACTTCAAATGATGCATGTTGTTCTGTGAGTACCTTAAGATGGTGATCAAGGTTGCTGTTGTCAATAGGGGTTTGCTCTTCACAAACCTTGAGACTTGGTTTCTTAGCACCAGCAAGCATTGAACTTTTTGTACTATCATGGTCTATGTCATGATCAGGTTCGTCTGTGCTTATGTTATTGATGGCTTCAGTTTTGTCAGCCTGAAGATGCTCTGATTCAAATATCTGTTCTGTTAGGGACTCTTGAGGGGAGGATGATTCCACAGAGCCCTCGAATTCTGCTAGGGAACATTTATTTAGATTGCTTTCTAGCTGGGCTATCATTGAGTGTCTTTCTTCCTGTTCAGTGTTCTGCAATTAAAAAAAAAAAAATTGTTAAAATGAAGCATTCAAAAGCGGCATTTGTTTCATTTTAACAAATTCTTCTTTTGAAACACATTAACAACAAATGCTTCTTCAAACCAAAAAATCTGCTAGGGAACATTTATTTACAAATGGATAAACAGAATATTCATCTACTATGGGATATTATCTCTAATATCTTTGTGATTGTCTCGCCTGATTGAACTCAGAAGGTAGTCCAGAGTCATAATTTTCCCCTTTAATCTCTCTGCCAGCGTCTTGAATTTCTTTTTCATTGTTTTGGAACTGATCCGTTGTTCCTTCAACTGATCCTTCCACTATATGTTGCCCATAAATATCATTTCTGCCTGTGGCTTTGGGTGGTTCAGATGCCTGGTTTCAATAGATGCAGCTTAGTAATCAAAATAAATAATTCTTGAAGTAAATAAACGTGTTCTTGCATGTTTGCGTCAATTCAGACTAGTTGTGTGAATGTGATGTTACATGCTAGTTATATATTTATTTTCAATCTAAATATATCTCAGTCCACTTAACCTGTACTGCCTTTATCTTTTCCTCAGGATCATTTTCTGCTCCGTGGTTTTCAACCTTCACTATCAATGTTGATTCACTGTCCTTAAGACTTTCTTCCTTGGTGCTTTGCTCAGTTATCTCATCTGTAATCAATGTTGTCAGCAATCTTGATGGGGCTTGGTCCTCAGATATACCTATACATGATGGATGTTAGAATGTTATTATCCGTACAGAGAAAGGGTTAAAGTACTAATTCTTACTTTTCTTGTTTTTATTTATAAGTCACCTTAAACTAATTCACATGTACCAAGATAGTTAGTTGCTTTTCAAAAATACCCTTGATCAAATGCAATAAATTCTAACCTAATCTTATTCACCTTTCTCAATCCTTGTCTTCACCATAGTTACTTAACAATATCCATACCAAGGGCGATAGGGGGGGTAAAATTAATTGCTTCATAGATTTTGTAAAATAACTTACAAATACAAACATAGAAGCCTTCTGGAAGATGACTTATAGAAGGGAAGATAGAGTTTTAATTAATACATCCTCTTCAGAAGTTGTAAAATTGAATACCACACGAAGTTGCTGATTAGAGTAAAGTTTCAAGGTATTTCAAAGTGGATGAAATTCAATTGAAACCAGACACACACAAGCACAAATCTAGAGGTTAAGCTTTTTTAGCGTGCTCACTTTCTTTTGCCGTTTCTCGTGACTGTTTATCAGTGACTTCCTCCATCTCTTTTGATTCCTCTGGTATGATTTTCTCATCTTCCTCAATATCTATGTTCTCCTCAGGGCATGGCAATGGGAACTTTTCAATTTCTTCAATATCCTTTGTTCGTTCTGAGATTGTTTCTGTTGTCATCACGGAGTCCACTTGCTTTATAATCAAGTTTTCTGTGCTTTGTGTTTCAGGATGATGTTCATTATGCTTGTTATATTCAACATAAAACTCTCTTGATTCTTGATGTTGTTCTGGAACTTCAATTTTAGAGACAAGATCACCACTGTCTGGTTGCCCTATTTCCTCAACGAATGCATGATCAGTATTCAAATTATTTTCAATTTGTTGGGGGGATATCATTTCTTCATTGTTGATCTCTGACATTGATTCCACTAATGAGAAACTCTGCTAAAATGAAAAGTTAGTCAGTTCATGGATTGTACTTTAGTTAAATCACCTTCTATTACAAGATTGACATGGATATAAAAGAATTAAAAAAAAAACAATTTCTCAAGTACCAAAGTTGAAAATGCTTAAAGTGTTTAATCCAATACATAGTGACATTCCTACCTTTTCTGTTGAAATTGATTTTTCCATTGTATTAGGTGCAGATGTTGATTCTTCCTTTACGTCAAAATATTGCGCAGGGTGTGTGTTCTGTTCCATTCCCTTTTCCTCATTTTCCCTTGAAGCTTCTATTTCAGTATTTTCTAGGATCAGGTGTGCCTGTTCTCCGACTTTGTGCTGTTGCTCATTTTTGTGGCTCAAGTCTCTCTTTTCCCCATCATGTGTCTCTGCATTGATTTTACTTTCCGCATTGTTCTCTGGGAGTTCTGTTTGAATATTCTCTTCATGTTCCCCTCTTATATCTCTATTTAGGCATGCTAAGTCTTCTGCTTTGTCCATCTCATCAACTGGAGGTACATCTATCTCTTGCCTTGCTGACTCACAGATGTCCTGGCTGTTATCTTGGCAGGATGCATTGGAAGTATCTTGCATGGCTTCCCCTGCTTCTATTGCAACTTGTGTATTCTCTCCATCTGCTACCAGGCTGGAAGATGGATTTTCAAGCTTTTCCCTGTAATTATCTTCATTGTTTGAGGGAGTTTCAAAATTAGATTCTTCAACACTATGAATATATGAACTTGGTGCAACAGTTACTGTGGAAGCATCCTCAGTACCGTCAGTCATGATTTTAAACTCCTTGTTATTTTCGTGTCCTGACTTATTGCTTGACCGGATTGATTCAGGATCCTTCCAATCAACCTCCCGTACTTGACCATCTTTCTCATTCTGTAATCCAGTTGAGATTATCTCTCTAAACTTATCCTCAAAATGCATGGTAGTGTCCATGTCTTCATGCTTTATAGAAGACTTGTCAAATAAGCTTGTAGCTTGTTGATTGCATTCCAAATCAGCATCTTCATCTCTCTTTGATGTCATGTTTTCATTAGTTTGGGAAGTTATCATTTCTTTTTCCATACTCGCCGGTATTACTTCAAAGGTTGCATCTTGATATGTGATTAATTCAAGATACTGTTCAAGGTGCTTGTTGTTCATAGAGGTCTCTTCATGAACCTTGGGATTTGACTCCTCAATGCTTTTCAGATTTGAAATTTTTGCACCATCGTCTTCTATGTCAAGGTGATGCTCCTTAGTAGTGTTGTCTTCTGTGGCTTCTACCCCATTTTGATGTAGTCCTTCATTCTGGGACTTTGTGAGTATTTGGTGCTCCAAGTCACAGATATTTTCTGTTGATGGCTTGTCAAGGAAGGATGAATCCACATCACGTTTGGATACTGCTGAGGAACATTCATTTGGATTGCTGTACAAGTGGGCTGCTGTTGAGTAACCTTCTTCCAGTCCAGTGTTTTTCTATAAAAAAGTTACATAAATGAGTGTAAGTTTCTTTCTTTCAGAAGCAGTTTATATATTTCAAGCTTAAGGATTTTGAAGTAATTGAAGCTATATTATGTTCTTTGGCATTCAAATACTATTCTGAAATTGGTAAATTTCTAAATCAAGTATTCCTCTACCCTTCGAAGTTTGAGATAATCTCTTTGTTATTGTCTCACCTGAATGATCTCAGAAGGGAGGTCGGAGACATGATTTTTCCTTTTAATCTCTGACTCTTCGTGAGGGTCATCCATTAAATTTTGAATTTGCTTTTCATTTTCTTGGAAGTTGTTCAATGTTTCTTCAACTGATCCTTCTATAATATGTTGCTTATAAATGTCTTGTCTGCCTCTGGTGTTGGGCAAATCAAGCACCTGTTTCCACAAATGCAGCTTCAGAATCAAACAATATGTTCATTGAGAAATTAAATGCATTGGTGCATGTCCACCATAGTATAATATAGCCAGGAACGAGATTGTGAAAATGCATGCAAGTAGCGATTCATTTTGTTGTTATTTCATTTTCATTGCACTAACCTCAGCTGCAGCTTCATTTTTTGGTCTGTGACTGTCATTCTTCTCTATCAATGTTGATTCTCCATCGTTAAGACTTTCTTCATAACAGCTCTGCTCAATCATCTCATCTCTAATAGATGCTACTGTGGGTAGTCTTGATGGTTCTTCATCCCCACTTACACCTGTCATTATTCATATTAGATGCTTGAATGTTGTAATAGATTCAGAGCAGCTAAAGTAGTAGCTTTGATTAGTTCTTCTGTCTTGTTCACAAGTTTTATAATTCAACGCCAAAGAAACCTGTTGATGGGAGTAAAGAATCATTGTTTTGAGGATTTCAAATATGTGTGCATGTGTATTTGAATTTTTTTTTCTCCAATATTTAAATTTGAACTTAAAGTTGTAATTTCTTTAAGGATGTGGATGATATTTACTAAAGATTGAAAAAGGGCAAGCTAAATTTTTTTTTAGCATACTCACTTTCAGTTGAAGATAACTGCTTGTTGATGGCTTCTTCCCCTTCTGTTGTCTCCTCTGATATGATTTCCTCATCACCCTTGCTGCCTATTCTATCTTCAGTGTGTGAATCTGGAAACTTTTGAAGTTCTTCAGCATCCTTTGTTAATTTTGTTATTGTTTCTGTTGTCACCATAGCTTCTGAATCTGTATGCTTTACAACCAAGTTCTCTGTACTCTGTGTTGCAGAAAGATACTCATCTTGCTCATTATTTTCAGAGCAACACTTGCTTGATTCTTGATGTTTTTCTCGTGCTTCAGTTTTAAGGACTTCGCCAGTTATGTCTGGTTCCCCTGTTTCCCCAACCAATGGATCCATAGAATCTAAATCGATTGCAATTTCTTGAGGGAACATGTTTTCTTCACCTTTGGTCTTTGCAATTGACTCGGATAGTGGGGGAACCTGCAAAATGAAGGAAGTCAGTTTAGGGTTCACATTTTAATGAAGTAACCTTATCAAATATAAGATTGACATTCATATAAAAGAATTCTTCAAATCAAAGTTCTTTGAAGAAAAAGGTTGAAAATGTCCAAATTGTTTAATCAAAGGGCGAAACTCCTACCTTTTCCGTGGAAATGGATGTTTCCCCACTGCCTGGTTTAGAAGCTGGTTTGTCTTTCTCTTCTATTTCTTCAAATTCTTCCACAGGGAGGATGTTTGAACTCTTTCCAGCATCTTCTCTTGAAGCCCCTATTTCAGCATTCTCTGGGATCAGAATTACTTGTTCTCCTAGTTGGTCCTCTTGTTCATCTTTTGGTTGTGAATCTCTCTTTTCCTCTTGGTGCTTTTCCAAATTGATTCTGCTATCATCAGAGATGTCTTTGTTTGTATTATTGCAGACTGTTGAGGAAACCTCTTGCAGAGTTTCCCTTGCTTCAGTTGCAACTTGTGTGCTTGCCCCATCTGTAACCAGGTCAGTACACGAGTTTTTAATATCATTAACATTTTCTCCTGTTTTTAAGGTTGCATCAAATTTAGATTCTTCAACATTTATTTTGGAGGCATCTTCTGTGTTACTATCATGTTCTAACATATCGCTTGACCCAACTGATTCAGGATCCTTGCATTCAGCCTCCATTAAAAATGGCATATCTTCTTTCTTCAGTGCAGCATCCACGCTTAGTTCTTTAACCTCGCCCTCAACATTTATGGTAGGATATTTGGTCTCATCTTTGGCACCAGACTTTTCAATTCTTTCATCTTCCTCACCTTGACCCATGGAAGTCAAATTAAGGTTGGGAAGTGGAACTTCACTGATCAGACACATGTTTGTCTCAGACGTGCTTGTCGGCTTTTCAGTGCATTCCAAATCGTCATCTTTTCGTCCCTCAGAGCTTATAATTTCTTGAGGGAACATGTTCTCTTCACCTCTGATCTCTGTGATTGGCTCGGCTAATGGGGGCACCTGCAAAAATATTAGTCAGTTTAGGGTTCACATTTCAATGAAGTAACCTTGTCAATAATAAGGTTGGCATTCATATAAATTATTTCTTCAAATCAAAAAAAGTTTGAAAATGTCCAAGTCGTTTAATTACAGAGCAAAATCCCTACCTTGTCTGTTGAAATGGATGTTTCCCCACTACCTGGTTTAGAAGCTGGTTCGTCTTTCTCTCCTACTTCTTCAAATTCTTCCACGGGGAGGATGTTCTGTTCAGCTCTCTTTTCAGCATGTTCTCTTGAAGCCGCTGTTTCAGTCTCCTCTGGCATCATAATTACTTGTTCTCCTAGTTGGCCCTCTTGTTCATTTTTTGGTTGTGAATCTCTCTTTTCCTCTTGGTGCTTTTCCAAGTTGATTCTGCTATCATCAGACATGTCTTTGATTGTATCATTGCAGACTGTTGAGGAAACCTCTTGCAGAGTTTCCTTTGCTTCAGTTGCAACTTGTGTGCTTGCTCCATCTGTAACCAGGTTGGTGCATGGGTTTTTAATATCGTTGACATTTTCTCCTGTTTTTAAGGTTGCATCAAATGTAGATTCGTCAACATTTATTTTGCAGGCATCTTCTGCGTTATTATCATGTTCTAACATGTCGCTTGACCCAACTGATTCAGGATCCTTGCATTCAGCCTCCAATAAAGATGGCATATCTTCTTTCTTCTGTGCACCATCTAAGCTTAGTTCTTTAACCTCGTCCTCAACATATGTGGTAGGATCTTTGGTTTCATCTTTGGCACAAGATTTTTCAACTCTTTCATCTTCCTCAACTTGACTCTTGGCAGTCAAATTAAGGCTGGGAAGTGGAGCTCCTCTGGTCAGACACATGTTTGTCTCAGATATGCTTGTAGGTTGTTCAGTGCATTCCAAACCAGCATCTTCTCCCCCCTCTGATCTTGTGTTTTCATTTTCCTGGTAAATTATCAACCCTTTTGGAGTATTCTCTGCGATTACTTCCGAAAATTTATATTGATCTGTCATAGGTTCTTCAGCACTTGCCTGCCAGGAAACTTTTGCCCCTTCTTTTTCTGTGTGATGGGTAGATTCTTCCATGTCAACTTCAGCACCTCCAGTCTTAAAATCCTTATTTAATGCCCCTATTTGATTTTGCTTTTGATCTTCAGGTAACTTTGCGAGAATTTGATTCTCTATCTTATCCACCTGACAATGCTCTGATTTACAGATATATTCTGTTGGTGACTTGTCGCTGGTGGATAATTCCGCTGGACTTCTATTCTCTTTCATCAAATATCTTTCTTCCAGTATAGTCTTCTGCTATTAAATTAAATTGCATAAATGAGCATTAGTTTCTATCTTCCAAAAGTAGCATTTAGTGATGCATGACACTTTTAAAGTCACTACTAAACACTTGACGGAGAAACATAAATTCTTTAGCTCTCAATTTATATTCTTCAATTTATGAATGTCTAAACTGAGTGTTCCTCCACTATAATAATTCTCATAAGCTTTTGAAGGTTGAAAACGACCTTAAATGTATAATTCCATATTTCAATTTACTTGCAATGATCTTTCTATTTGAGGTTAAAGGGAATGAGCTTCCAAACTGTTCTTTGCATATTAGTAAAGACATCATTAAAACTTGAGAAGTGAAATGATACACCCTAAATATGAGTCATATATACAAGGTCAAGCATGCTTTTAATCTTCAAATGTATGCTTTAATAAAATAAGTCTGTCCATAGTGTTAAATAGAGTAATCTGAGAGCTGTCAAGTCCTTCTAGTTTCACTTTCATGATGAAAGGAATAACATTACATCAGTTGTCACGACATGAACTAGGTTGCTTTGATAAACAAATTAGCAGGACCACGTGTGGTCAAACTGATGCTAGAAAACTTCATGCCATTAACAGCAAGAAATCACTATCATATTTCACTTAATGCATTTAGTTAAGAAATCTGAGCCTGATGAGATGTTTTCAGTTGTGGGAAAAATTTTATGGGTTCCTCTAAGATGCTTACACTTCAGAAAGTCTTGTTGATAAGGAATCTCAAATATATGCATAGAATATAAAACACCCTACGGCACACATGGAAGCAAGTCCTCTGATAAATGATATTGAGCTGATCATACATTGAAGAAGATTAATAGATGCTTATAAAAGATGGAGAACCAACTTTAGCAGTAGCACCATGCAGACAAGCATAATTACTTGGGATGACTTTGATCTTGCAAATACTTTAACCTGATATGTCTATTTTCTGATGGTTTCACGTTTCAGAGATCCAGAAATAGACTTTATGACACACATCCAGATATCTAATCAAAATATTTACTTCGGCTAAGTACATGAAAATGATATATGCTTATTCTTTTTTTTTTGGGGGGGGGGGGAGGGGGGGAGGGGCGTGTGATGAGAAAGAAAGCATACCGGTGCAGATTCATCTTCTGGGATTTTGGCTTCAGTCTCCATTTTACATGCTAGGTCAGTTCAGTGTCAGTTCAGTAGGAGTTGAGACCGCATGAAGAAATCTTTATACTAGTGGATCAAAGGCTCTCACTCTTGTACTATTTACTGCAGTTTCGATTGTGCTGGAGATTCTGGTTGCTTCAAACTGAAGCTCCGCACGACGTTAAATACATGTATATTGTGAAACTTGGAAATGATACATCTGACTTTAGACTTCTGAAGTGACTTAGAAATGACAAAGCACCACCTGTAATATGCTAATGTATATCAGTGAGTTGGCCACAAATGACATGGTCCTTCTGATGTATCAGTCGCATGCCATAATGAACAACTCCGTGTGAATGACAAAATTTTCAATTTTTTGTTCGCTCAAAGATTATCTCTGCATTAATTGGATTCTCTCAAGACTTTCGGTTTCAATTCGACACTTGAAAATTTGACAAACAGAGTTTTACTTCAATCTTATTGTTGATTTAGCCGAGGACACTGTGGAGGGAAGAAATCGAGTGACAAGGAAAAAGCAGCGTAACTTTTTATCTGTTCATGCTGGCTTTTTGTGGGGTAATGGATCAACTTCTGAATGTTATTGGCTGTCTTTGCCTAACTTTCTCAATGATCTATGATCATCATAGCATGTCTGTGAAGCAGTATGTAACAGTAAAACTTAGAAATGACATTTTTTCTGTTGTGACTGTTAGTGAAAGGAAATAGTGAACTCCAGAGTGATGATGTTGGAGAAGGCAAATTGAGAAGCATCTTGTGTGTGATTGGCTGGCTTTGTGAACAAGTCCAAGGATTATAACATGTAATAAATGGTGGTAATTTTTTTAATTAGTTATAATGTATGAGCAGAATATTGTGATATTACATGCCACATGGATACAATGTACTCGTGGGCCACCACTAGAAAGAGTCCCACCGTTCAGTTCAGGAGTCCCCTGGAAGCATCTAACTGGATTTGAAATCTCAGGCATGAGTGGTAGTTCACTGACAATATCAATCGAAAGGCATTCTCCGAAACAACTTATGTAGCAGGCTGTCAAATATTTTCTTTCTGCCTTTTATTTTCATTTTAAGGATAGATTGTACGAAAATTTTCTTTAATTTGATTTATATGGGGATTAGTAGATAATTTTTTAACCTTTACAATTTTAAAATAATTTTTTCATTGAGTTGATAACTCTTACCATCAGTAGACACGTTATTTTTATGTTGAAGACATTGAATATCTGAAATTTTATTTTTATATGATTTTTCAATACATTATGTTTTGTTAATGAAATGATAGATGTGTTAATGAATGAAATTATTTAGAGAGAATTACGTTAAAATCTCACACAAAAAAAATTAATTATTATAAAATACATTGATAAATAAACTAAGACTATTGACAATACAATTCTTTCAATTTTTTATACAAATTTTAACAAGAGATGGTGTTTATATTTTTTAAGCAAAAACAATTGCCTACTTATAATCCAAAATTAGTGCTTGCTAGCCTTGTTTACTTTAATAACGCTATTGCATGATTGTAGAGAATTTATTTGAAAACTAATAATAAAAAGTATCAAGTTAGTTGTGAATAATATAGCCAAGAAAATAATTTTAACGTGTTTATTCCCTTTATTTAAAAATTTTTTGTTTATCCTCTTTAAACCAATATTTTCAAAACTAGACCGGATATTGAATCAAAAATGTTAGCGATTTGCATGATTCAATCGGATGATTAAACCAATGATATAATAATTAAATTAAAAAAATTATATATATATACACACACACACAGATATAAGAAATAAATATGAAATTGTCACTTAAATTAAAAATAAAATTAACTATTTTAAGTTTATCATAACTTAACAAATCACATAGTATAACATAATATCAATGATTAAAAAATTGATCATTTTTCTAAAAAAAATATTAAAAAGGCTTTTTTTAACAGTCTGATTTTTTACTTGATTCTGATTCTCAGTCCAACTGTTGATCAAAAGTGGCCCAATTTAGCCTACTCTCCAAATAATTTTTTCAACTTGATCAAGCCATTAGTCTAACCGATTGACAATCCAATCATTCGATTCAGTCTGACTTTTTAATCATTATTTTAAACAGAAACCCGAAAAAAGAGAGGTGGTATACCGGTTCAGGAAGAGCCGAAATAAATAAATAAATTGATATATAGATAGACGTGAAGAAGTGAGGTAATGGAGGGGTGTGGTATATTGTCAGTTAGTAATAATGTGGATGTGCATTATGCTGAAAGCAGCGTAACGTTATAAAGAAGAGCTGCATTATTAGACCCACCAGACCAGCCGTGGAATTATTTGCAATCTCCTCCGCCGCCCAAACGTCAGTTTATTGGAATATTATACCCAACTTGCTCACTCCTTTTCCCTCTCCTTCTGTTTCGATGCAACCCATAATTACCCTTCTTTGCTTTAATAGCTCTGTTTGGATGAAAATGGATCCATTTTCTCTTAGAGGAAAAAAAAAACAAGAGCGACCAAGATTCCTATAAAAGCTTTCTTCACAAAAAGATTCACTTGTCGTGCTTTATATGGAATTAATAGAGGTGAGGAAACGGGTCATAGACCATTGCAGGTTCGAGTTTAAAAGAGGTAAATTTGAAAAGCCTGTTTATATATTTAAGAAGAAGAAGAAGAAGAAGAAGAAGAAGAAGAAGAAGAAGAAGAAGAAGAACTCATGTTAGCAAATGAATACACAAAAAAAAAAAAACATATCTTTTTAAAAAATTTCTGATTCAATATTCGAACCATCATCTAGAATTAAATGATCCTGTTGTTTTACGACATGCCAGACAAGTTTTGGAATATAAAATTGATAAAATAATTCCGAAGTGCGTTGTGAAATTGAAATTCGCAAACTGAGTAAGACGGGCCAATGGGAGGAGAAGCATGGAATAAATCTGTTGACCAAGTACGACCGTTAATTACTGCGAGACCTGCCCCCTGATACACCCTGCGAGACACGGCAAAATGAAAACCACCTAATAAATTTATCACAATATACACACAAGTTTTGAATGTTTAACGTTTGAACAGAATATTGTCTCTCCGTTTATTTGAATATAGAAAGCTTCCAATAATGCTTATTCCGTAGAGAATTTTTAATCAAGTGGCCTTTTCTCTAATATGTGTAAGTTGTGATTTCACTGTCGTCTTGTGCGAACGTTGTTCTGTTGCGAACTAATCCATTCGCCATTAGCTCGCACTCTATCTGCCACGCATGGCCTATTACACTCCTATTTCTATTTTCTATTATATATTTTGTTATTATTATTTAGATCATTGTTATCGTTGCATGCCCGTGACGCCTGACGTTTAGGGTGGTTCGATCACTAATTTTAAAATTTTAAAGAATAATGCTTATTGAAAACCTGTATATGTAAATATTCTTATTCTTATTATTTCATAAACGGGATATAATCGCACCACGTGTCAATGATAATTAATGATCGTATTAAAATTCCGTCATGTATAAACAACAGTAGTGATATATATGTCATGATTTATTAGACGCTACACGAAATATACTTAGCAACGAAATCTCACCTATGTGAAGGTGAATATTTAAAAGGAACAATGACAGTTAATCTTTAAAATATTAAATTAATGACAGATAGGTTTACAATAAAATTTTTTTAAAAAATAAATTTTAACCAATTACAGATAGAGATTTCTCTTACAATCTAAGAGATATATATTGATATTTAAACACTAATTTATAATTAAAATTCTTGAATTTTTAATTCTCTCATCAATATCTTAGCTGTTATTAATTTAAAGTTATGAGATTGAATCGTTACTCTCTCTCTTTAAAAGAGGAAATATAATTTACATTACATTTCTAACGTCTTCGACTATTAATTCAGACTTAAATTTTGACCAATGACAACGTTTTTACCTTCAATCCGTGACAAGTAGTCATGATAGTTTTCTTATTCAGAGTAATACATTTCTAATAATTCTTTAATTAATTTAATAAATCATGCAGACCACATTTTCCTGAATTGAAATTAGAGAAAAAGGGGTTTTGACGGGGAAAAAGACAGAGAAAGGAGGACGGGGATCCACGTGGAGATAGCACCGCCCTAAAGGCGGAAAGGGCCCAAATGAACGAGAAGGTCGGTCATGAAATTGAAATGTGGGCCCCGTCGCCGCTTTCGTGAGAGATTTCAATTCTTTGTTTTAATTCCCTAAAGTCCACAATTTTATTTGAAAAAAAAAAATCAAACCCCTTGACCGTACTTAATAAATTAACAACTTCTTTTCTAGGATTCAATTCTTCACTCATAAAAACAAAGAATACTCTAAAATTAATCATCTGCTCTTTTATAAGAAATCCTGTTATGAAGAAATTAGATATTTTTATCAACAATGGATACCTTGAGCAACAAAAAAAAAAATTTTTAAATTCTAAACATTCATTTAAGATTAAAGATATTAAAGTCAATGGATAATTTTATATGGATAAATGAATAATTTCAACGGGGAATCAAAGGAGGTGGGAGGCAATAAAAAAAGTTTAGTTGATAATTTAATTTCACTTCAATACTCAGAATCTAAAATAAATTTTTAGACTTTAAAGGAACTTCTTTTCATTACGTGGGGTCTTAAACGAACTTCTCCCATTTTATTTCTTGTCTAGTTTAGAGAATAGACATTAAATTTAAAGGTGTTTAAATGTATGTTTTGCTTTGGTTTTAGGTTAAGACATAGATCAAATCAAACTAATCGATTTGTACCAAAAAATACACTTCATTTGTTTTTTATTGAGGTCAATATGATACAGTTTTTAGGTAACTTGATCCAAATTTTAATATCTTTTTAAGTATATAAGATCATATATTGTGGCTAAACATAATTTTTTACTCTCTCTCCTTTATTCTTACATTCTCAACTTTATTATTTATGAATGAAAATGAATATCATGTTTAGAATGAAAAAATTTAAATTTAGTTATTAATAAACACTAAAGTATATGCATTTGTACACAACATCATATGAATGTCATTACAAACTGTCTTGATACCTATAATGAAAAGTATATTGTTTAAAATAAAAAAGTAAAATTTATATCTAAAATTGTATAAAAGATCGTTCTTAGTATAATACATGTGTATACATTTGACCTTTAATACCAGAAATGATAAAGGAGTGGTTGATAATTCTATAGAAGCATATTAGGGCTCGGGTTGGACTTTGGTTGAAAATAACATTAAAAAAAAAAAAGCACCAATAGTCTAATATTTGCTATAAAATACATTTAAACATCTAAAAAGTATAGTTTAGGTTTGGTTAAAGTTTAAAGGAAAAAAGTTGAAAACTAGACAGAACTATTCATTTAAAAAATTATAAAGCCAAACTAAGTCTTACTAATGATTGATTTTATTTAATTTCTATCATATTGGTTTGGTATGATCAGTTTTACCCGCCATTAACCAAATTTATTGATTTCTCATTAAACCTTGAGTTGGCAATTTAACTAGAACTTTGGGATTTAAATTCAGATCAAACCAATTAATTGAATTGGTGAATCATTAAATTATCATTTTCATTGATTAGATCAAATGTCTTGTTTGTGACCAATGTATCACATTTTGACTATTAATTATTAAATTGGTGCATTTATTGATTCATTGATTAATTTGGTATTTGATGCCTTGTTTAAAACTAACATTTATTTGGCACTTACATTGTCCTAATTATAGCATCATTCATAATAAAATACATTCAAATTGATGCATTCAATTTGATTTCCTAACTTTTTTTAAAACAAAAGTTAGAGGTCTCTTTAACTGCAATATCATCAACTCATTACATCATAAAATTATATGGAAATATCACGCAAGGGCCCCTATAGTTTTTTAACATCAACAAAAGGATCCTACAAATCTAAAACATCATTGCATCCCTTGAGACCTACTTGGAAATTAGATTTGTGGAAAAATACCTAATTATCCTAGTTAAGTAAACGAGAAGCACAAATATCTACTCGTTATTAATGTACTTCGTCGTTAATACTCGAATGATTGATTGTTTAGTGGAGACTAACGCTTATATTATTATTATTATTATTATTATTACCTACTTAACAATTTTTAAAAATTATTCATGAATCAATAGGTGCTTGTTTGGTGCATGTAATTACTTGTCAAAACTTGAATAATTGTTTGGCACCAATGCTTGTACATGACTAAAACTAAAGGGGCAGGTTTAACTACAAAAAATACATCATTCACCGTCTCATCTATTAATTTTATACTCTGGGAATGTTATATTCTTCCAGCCACGATGCATCCATTGCAATATTTTAATAAATCTAATACAATATTAGCTCATTTAAATTGCAATAGAAAGTTACGGACAATACTAGCTGCTACTGTGCTACACCATAAATCCTTAACAAGAAACAAACAGAAATTGTGAATAGATGTCAAGAAATGTTGGAACTTCTAAGTATATTTACTCGAAATTTTAAACAAGAGAGATAATCATTGAACACAAGCAGGGAAAGTTTGGTCCACGGAAATTAAAATGTTCAAATAACAAAAAAAAAAAAATCAATACACACTTATAACAATAAATAAGCATGTGAAAAATAAAATTAAAAATACTAGTTCTCACTGTCTATATAAAAACTTTATTGGTTGATCTATAAATATTTCTATAGATGTTATTTAAACTTTGAGACATGTCTTGATCTTGATAAGTTTTTAATACACAGCTCACTTAAACTCTTCAGCACCACAAAATATGACTTCCTTTTAGTAATTAAACCAGTCTATGATGATATGATATTGGATGCTGAACTCTGAATCCAGCCAACTTTACTAGGCTTGATTAATTGATTTGCCATTCAAGGAATACTGTTTATCGGACACAGCAATTGACATGTTTGCTTGCTTGTTTGGTTATCTGAAAAAAAAAAAAAAAACACTGTGAATTTGAGCAATGGGTAGTTTATTAGAGAGGATTCATTCAGGTTAAGTAACGCAGTCGCTCATTTCATTGATGGATCTTACATAATAAATAGCAAAATTATTGCACGAGTTTTCATGCTCGCTGGAATGCAAGAAGAAGCTATGAGCAGCACAAGCCGCCCCTACATGGCACCAAGCAAGAAATCCAAAAACATCGATCATTTTTCAGAGACACTCGTTACGAAACTCATCAGTTAATAGCACCAATTATTTTCCTAGTTTTTGTTCACGTTTTAAAATGCAAGACTGAATTTTGAAAAAAACATAATTTTAAGTCCTATACATCTCTGTATTTTTTCCGGTATTCTATATTTCTATATTTTTTATATTTTAATATTTTAAGTTTCTTCACAAACAAAGTATAAGAATTTTAGAAAGACTTGAAACATCAAAAAAATAAAAGTACCAAAACTAAATGAACTGTAAAAAGTAAAATTGTTTAGAATCCGACACATCAAGAACGTGCTCTGTTTAGATGTTATAGTTTACAATAATATTAACAATTATATTAATTATGTTAATTGTCGGGTTCGTTGATGGACATATATTTTTTATTTTTGCCACCTTTCAGTGGTCTGGGCTGACTGCTGAGACCAAGCCCACGGGTGAATGATTTGGAGAGACGTGTACCAGTTACCCAACGACGTCGCATGTGATGTTCGCTGGTTATCGCGCCCAGTAGCTGCATCACTCCCTAGAACCCAAACCAAAGCAAGTGACAATAATAATAGATAATAATTATAATCAGGATAAAAGGGGGCACAATTGGAAATTCAAAAAATTAATAAGGCGGGAAAAAGAGCCGTTGTTGCCCAGGCCACTGAAATTTTGGCGCCAAAACCCAGTTCACTCGGTTTGGGCTGCCCGCGTAATCCCGGGCAGCTCCCTTTCTCCCTCTCTTTCTGCCTTCGCTTTTACCAAATTGACGGTGTTTCGCATTCGCTGCCTCACGGGTTCCCTCCTCTCCACCTTCTATATATTATTTCTCTCTTTCTTCTTCCCAAAAATTTCTTCCTGTTTTCTCTGCAATCACGAAAAGAAAAAAATCCCCAAAATAAACCGGTAAAAAAAAAAATTCTCTTTTTCTTTCTCTTGTTCCTTCGTATCAAATCTTCCCTCTCCTTTCTCTCCACAATCAGGCAAAGACCCTTTTCTCTTATTCTGTCTGTTATTCTTCATCGCTTCATTCTCTTTCTGATTCTCAGGCAAGAATCATTCTTTCCAATTCCATACTCGCTTTCCTTCATTCTCTTCACTTTCCTCTGTTTCGGCTAGTTCGATCAACGACGAGCCGTGTCTCTTTTTCTGTGGTATATTTGAAGATTTTGATATGGGGTTTTCAAAAAAGTCGCAAATAGAATCAGGGCTAGAATCAGAAGCGAAGAAGTGGGTAATTGCAGGTATTTCGGTACGGTCTCTGAAGCCCATAAACACGAAGCCGAGGGGGAAAGAGAACGAGGAAGACGATGAGGAAGCCTGTTCGACGACTCCGACGGCGAAAGAGGCAAGAATACAAGAAAAGTTGCCGTGCCCGCCGGCGCCGAGGAAGCCCCGACCATCACGGCGACACAACTTTAACGGCGTTCGAGAGTTTTTCACTCCTCCTGACTTGGAAACTGTGTTCAAACGCCATGTTGAGAAAGCCATCTGATTTCAGCTCATTCAACTAACAAAACGACGCTAGATTCAAGCTTGTCTGAGAGGAAAATGGTCCTGAAAAAGAGGGTTTTGTTATGTTTTATGTATTATTATTTTTTTTTCATTTTATGGCTCTGAATGCAAATTCCTCTCTGCTTCGAGTGCTACCTGGCAACAAGAACTTGTGTACAAAAGAAAAAAAATTGATATGTAGGGAAGCAGTATAGGCTAGTCTTTGATTTCCATTTTTTCCCCCGTTTCCTTTCTCGTTTGATGAAAGAGTATGTGGTCTAGTTCTGTTTTTGCTTAATGAGAAGTTTTCAATATTTCCAGTTCAAGCAAGCACATGCTTATTTTCTCAGCATTTCTGTTTTAGAGTTCCTCTCTGAAGACATGTAGCTGGGTTAGTTAGTTCTTTTCAGATCATGCAATTTCCTTATTTTTCCTCATGTCTCGCCTAAAAATGACCAAAAGTTGCCCAATAAAATGAAAAAGCAAGTCTTTAAGATGGTGGAAAAACACAAATTGATTGACGGAGAGAAAAACCTTGAAACTCTTGTTAATAGGTCAAGCATTTTTGTCATACTCCACCAATCTTCTTCCATATCCCACCTCTCCTTGAACCCTACGGTGAAGGTCAAGCCCCCCATAATACTTAGCTGATTATTAAAAACAAGAAATTCCAAGCACACGAGAATCCTATGTGATTCGTACTGTTTCAAGTTTCAAGCATCAAATGGTTTTTGATGAGTTTGATTTTGTTTTTGCTTCTTAAAAACGAGTGGATAACATTTTCGTGCATGCTTTTGTCAAAGTACTAGAATCTGCAACTGTTTATGAAGTAGACAGGACACGGTTTTGCTTGCATGACCAAAGAGCTTACCTAATCTTATCGAGGATGTAATTCAATTAATTACTAATTGTTTTGTAGGAAAGGGCTGTTCTAGGGATTAGAATTCTTTTAGTAAGAAAGCAAGCACACCACCACGTAGTAAAGTTCTGTAGGTAAATGAAGAAGTCTGTCTTTGTCAGGTTGTGGTCACTCTGATTCACACTTGGATGAGCAGTGGCAATTCATTCTACCGTGACGCTTGTGAATGGGCACCACACGAGACCTAAGAAAAACATTTCTCTTGCGTTTTTTACTTTTGACCTTGTTACGTGCTTCCTTCGAGGAAACAACATGAGACTTCAAGGATAACGCGTTTTTAGTTATTATATTATTAGTGTATTAATTTAAAACCAGAGAAATTTACTCCGTGACTGTCTTCAAGAATAAAGCGTGAACAAGAACTGTCAATCAATGAGATTCAAGATATAATGGAATAGGCAGATCAATATTCCTTTTTCCTGTTTGAAATAAAGGACAATGAAGTTCTCGGCCATGCATTTTTCCCCTTGGGTGGAACTCTTGTATGCAGTGACGTAGCTAAGACCTTTGGTTAGGGGAGTAATGATAAAACTAGTATCCTTAATAAAAGAAAGACATTTATATCTCTTCCAAATCAATTATTTATTTTCTTTCTTTATTTCCTATCCAATTTTTAATTGTAAATTCATAAGTGTAGCAAGTTAGAAAAAAACTTTCACCCAATTTACTCTTGAGTTTTGAATATTCATTATTTATCATTGTCTTTTTTTTTAACTAATTCCTGAGTAGTATTCAGGGCGAGGAGCGAGTCCATTTAGTCATATTAGATTTTTTTCTATTTTTTAAACAATTAATAAATAATATTGATATTTAGATATATTAAAATTGTGGGCCAATATCCATGAGGCTAAGTTAAAAATTTGAATAGATCTAGGCTAAAAAAGTAAGGCTGAAATGGGTTTAAAGTTTAAAAAATAAAAATAAAGAAATGTAAAGTATAATAAATAAAAAGTGCAAATTGTAAAATATAAAAACCTATACTTTTAAACATATCATTTTTTTCAAGTGAATGGACATGTGTCCCTTTTTAATTACATGTGACTCTACCATTGCTTGTATGTTATCATGTTGGAGGAGTAGATATACACGTTCATGAAGGAACAAGTGAATTTCATCATGAGATGAAATAGAATGGAACATATATACAACATCGTTTGTTGTTTTTGATTATGTAATGGAGTGACATGAAGTAGACAAAGAGTCATTTTCGGAAAAGATACACAATCTTGGAGGGTATGATGTTCATTAAATGAATCTTTTGGATTTGAGTAGGCTTATATGCTTGAGGGGAAGGCTGTGTGGGTTTGTCATTATGGAAAAGCTCTCAAACAGTCCTTCAAGTTATGTCCTCTTTTCATCAATTCACTCGTTTTGTGGGGACCCAATGTGACTATTGACCATAGAGTAGTCGTTCAACTTAATCATCACTAGATACATATAAGACATTTTAGTGAAGTTGGATGTATCCTTTTATGATAAGTAACAACTCAGGTGTTATATTCTCATTCTGAAAAAACATGATTTCACCTTTTAAGACATCTCAATTCGAGAGAGAGATTTATCAAGGCAAGGAATGAAGGGAACATGCATGTTTTAGTTCAGACTTCGAGGAGGTTAGGTAAGGAAGAGAATTGTTAGCTAGTGCTAGATGTTTATTAATTTGAATCGTCTTTTTTTTTTTTTAATTACATGCCAGAGTCATTCTATCTAAAGGGATTTATTTAATTTAGAATGTAACAGGAACGCTAAATATAAGTATTTCTTTTAATATGAAGTTAAACCATAATTTACTATGCTGTGAAGAATTAATCCACTATTACAAAAAAAAAAATCTTTGGACAAATGAGTGCCTTCATCAAAATGCTTGTGATAAAAAAAAATAAAAAAAAGCTCTTACAAGATGAGGTAGAGCTTAACAAAGTGCTTATTTATGGAAGTGATCTTGTAATTTGATCTTCTAGGAAAAAAATACTTCTATGATTTTTTTTTTTTTTTGTAGTAGCGATCTCTTCCGTCAGATCTAATTTCATTAGTAATTTGAATCTTTTAGGTAAAAAATAGTAGAAGAACAATGTCAAGATAAAATATATTATATTTTATATGCAATAAAGTTTTAAGCAAAAAAGAGGGTTTTATGAGTAACAAATTTGGAATGCCTTTGTTCAAATAAAATTGGAATGAGTTACCCTTAAATATTAAATCATTAAAAAAAAAAGTAAGCTTAACTAATAAGATAGGGAACATTGGTTATTTATGAAACAAATTGATATATCTTATTTTGGCCATTAATGTAGTATTATAAACCATTTATATATAAAAATAATCAAATCACTAAATCTAACTAATTTTATATGTACAATATAATTCATCATTATTAATATAATGAACATAGCATCCTAAAAACACCATATCATGTGCATTGCATGGGAAAAAAATATAGCTATATTATATTATATTATATTATATGACTCCATTTTTAATTTTTGTTTTTATAATTGTAGAAAATTTATCCTAAAGTCTTCCAATTAGCATCTTTCTTCCTTTTCCTTTTTATAATTCTTATAGTATCTAATATTATTGATTAATTCACATTTGAGTTAGCCTAAACTCCGGTTGAAAAAAAAAAACTCCTAATATATATATTTTGTCTTTCACAAGATTCGGATTAAGTCCTAATAAACAATATTGTTTTAAATGTCAATGGTTGAAATTTTGTAAACAGAATTAAAAGAAGTAATAGATAAGCATGTTTTACAGGCTAAATTGCTAGCTCAGCTCATCCCACGTGACTGGTTGCTTGCTCGGTCTCGTGAAGGGACATTCACGAATCACGGAACATAAGACAAATAATAGCCTGAGAGATTATTAATTAATTAGTAGTTATTAATTAGGATCATAATTGATAAACGTTGCCTAATAGACTGATAGATACAGTGACATGTCACTTGTCATCTCAAATTAAAAAATAATTTTCACAAATCAAGGTCTAAGAAACACACCTGAACATTAATTTCTTATATGTTATCCCGTTATGTAAAGCTAGAATGCGAAACTCACGCATTTATACATGGAATATAAGGCGAGTTGCGTTATGTATAATTTACAAATGTTACAGTCTCGTTTCTTTTATATACACGGCCATCTAGGTTCAAGCTATTGATCGAGCAAATGAAATGATATATTGTTTAAATTTAACTAGAAAATGATCCATGGGATTAATGACAAATTTACCTATTTCCGCCCTCCTTTTATGTTTGTCTTTGGGCATTATGAAAAGTTTTTGCTTAATAGAATGCAACTCTTATTAGGCCAGAACTAGCTTCATCTGATTCTAAAAGGTCAAATGTTTAATAAAAAATAACATAACATTTAAGTATTTGATTAATAATTTTTCAAATTACATGATGATATATCAAAAATTAGCCTTTCTTTTTTAATAAAGAAAGCTCAATATCCCTCTTTCTTGTCATTAAAATCATTTGAAAGATATTATATATTAAACTCTTGACAATATATTCTCTTTTCAATATATACATGCAGAATGGGTTAGTCAATTACTCATAACATGATAAATCAATGTTTGAATCTAATTAGAAGTGTGTTTATGATCAGTATTTAATTGTGCTTCAAACAAAATTGTATCCAATGGAAATACCTTTGCACAAAAAAAAAAAAATATTCATCAACCATCTTATTGCAATGTATAGTCTTGATAGTGTTCATAGCTTGAAAAAAACCTTGGTAGCAAATTAACAAAACAAATAACCTTTTTATAAGGCATTTTTTAAGGAGTTGGATGTTAAAAAATATAAAATATTTTTAGTCTTTTGAAGTGTAATTATTATATTTTTTTAAAAGTGCTCATATTGATAAATACTTTTATGTTTATTGTAGGGTGTTGAATATGGATAAATATGAAAAGATATGATTAATTTAAAAGTAAATAACTACTTTATTAAAATAAAATTTAATTAAAAATATCTTATATATTTAAACGAATGGAGTATTAACCTTTAGGCATATATTTAAGTTGGATTGATTTAAATTTTATCCAACAGGAATCCCACCGCTTCCCCCCGTAAAAGGCAAAGCAAAGTCATAACTAGCAAATTCTACAAAATACAATTGATAGGCATATCATTGTATTGATATTCCAAACAATAGTTAACCAAAATGTTTGGGTAGGTTGGTATTAATTTATAACACAATAATTGGTCTTGAATCTATTTAGGTCAAATTCAACTACCTACACTAATGATGCACAAATAATGGAACAAATGATGAGATTTATATGAAAGGGGACTAGCAACCTAATGCACAAGTAATAACTATATAAAGTATAATGCTCTATGTGAAACTAATTTAAAACAAACCAATAATGCTCATAAAACATAAAAGTTGAAAGTG